ACTGGGGGGTCATACATCAGCTCAACTTGGGCTCTTTGTGCACTGATGCTGTCTGCAAAGGGCTATAGCACTGCCACTCTGTCTCAGTGTTCGTGTGTGTGTGTGTGTGTGTGTGTGTGTTACTCCAGCTAACTGTGCTATTTTATCTGATTATTGAGTCTAATGACAAACCAAGAGCTCAAATGATTGTATCATTCATTCATTTTCCTTCGGCTTAATCTCTTATTTTTCAGGGGTCACCACAGCGGATGTCCTTCCAACCGCAACCCAAAAATTGTGAAAAGAAATCGTATCATAATCTCAAAATAAACAAAAACAATAATATTTATATGTTTACATTGAAAAAAAGCATTTCCATTGAAGCTTTTCTACTGCCAGCAAGTTTCTGTTGTGAAAATATTTGCAGCACACGTGTTGTCAAACTGGTGAAGGTGTTTTTTCACTTGAATGTGTTTTCCTCACTCGCACTGAGCTCTCTCAGCCACCGCATTTGCTGTCTATTTTTATTTTTATTTTTATTTTTTTGAGTAGAAAAAAAACAATGCTGATGAAGAAACAGATCGTTCACAGTACAGCAGTGAATTGATTTGATGTATGTTGATGCTGCTGTGTGCATCTCCAAACCGTCTTTTCCCCAGTGCACCATGGGAGCTCATTACAGGTGTCTCTGAGCCTGTGAAACACACCATGATGCGGTTGTGTGAATCCACTTCATTACTACAAAACAACCACAGCAATGATACAGAAACATCTGACAAGAGCTCCGCAGCTGTGTGTTCCACCGTTAGTGTATGTGCTATAGTGAGACAGACATGTTTGTTCTGCGTAATTGTTAGCCTGTTTGTTGTGACTGATCCACAGAGGCTTGTTTGTCCTGTGAGTGATTTTTTTCTATCGTGTTTTTCTCCATCATAACACAAACCGAGAATTAGGTACTGCCCTGCTGTGAGTATAGATTGTTAGTGTTAAACTTGACTTGGTGAATTTAAAAAGTTTACTTTTGGTTTCTCACAGTATGTTCTCAGTCAAACAAACCCTGTCCAGTTTAAACTGGAACATGAACATCTTTAAAAAGACACTTCTGGCTAAACTGCAGCTTTGCCACTTCATTCATTTGGCCAGAGGTAAACTGGTCTCCTTGACTGAGCCTGGTTTCTCCCAAGCTTTTTATTTTTAATTTATTTCTATCAGTTGGTGGAATTTTGGTTCCTTGCTTCATTCCTATATATGTCCCGATCATTTTTGCCAAGTCATGTCCAAGTCATTTGATTTGGAATATCTACCAATACCAAAACCCAATGTGATATCTATAATTCTATATTCTATAATACATAAAAAAGAATAAAAAAAAGAGCGAAGAAACAGATTCAGGATGTTTCCTATTTTTAATTTAATTTAACCTATTTTAACATTTAACATCTCTGTTATCAACCATAGCACTTCTGTGAGGTAGCTTGAACAATCAAGTAAAATATAACATAAATTCTTACATACTCCAAAAGCATAAGAAATCCAGGGTTCTCTACTTGTCTGTGATGTCCTGTGCCTTCGCCCTGTCACAGGTCATTTTTTGTGTCCTCTTTAAACTCTCCTGCAGCATGAGCTGACTCATCTTCCATTGGGTTGCCTGGGTAAACTCACGATATTGTTTCTGAGATGCCTTAACAGGGCTGTTATGTTAAATGTAGCCTTTTCCTTTCCACCTTTTGCAATCAAAAGTTTACATATCTCCCAGTTTGCTATGGCAATGTTGTCATCATTAACTTTATAATACTGCAAGACTGCAGACGTACTCGTGCTTTCTGCTTTAAGCTGTTTCCGTGTTCTACTTTGCCAACATTTACCCAATAGCATCTCTGCAGCAAAGTGATGTCATGCTGCACACGTTGCTGTTTCTGTGTCAAAAAAGAGGTTTAACTCTGTGCCACCACAAAACTATAGATTTGTTCAAAAATAATGAGATGTATAAAAAATGTATGTATATATATATATATATACACACACACACACACACACACACACACACACACACACACATAAATATTCAAGTCCTGATCGGGGGTAACGTTCGATTTAGATCGAGTCTGAACCCACATGATCGGACCTGATTTCTAATCACGTGATCGGATCTGGACATCCCTAATCATTCCCTTTTAGCTTAATTAGATGAAGTGACACATATTTTTTCGATCAACTCTTTTACGTGAACAGCAATATTCTGATATTAACATGATCAAGATAATACTGTACTGCAATGTAGATTAGGTTTACACTCATGTAAAAAATAAAGGGTGTAATATACTGTAAAATACCGGCAGCTATGGTTGGCAGAAGTTCACCGTAAAATATAAGGTTATAATGTACAACACTTTACAGAATACTTTTTAATAATTCATACATTTTACAGTCAAGTGTTTGTTTACAGTACTTTTCTGTTAAATAAAACAGATATACTGTAAAACATTTTACAGTAATTTACTTCAAAAATAGCAATGGTAAGTGTAAATTCCTCTACAGTAAACTATTGTGTACTGTATAATAAATGTACTGTAAACTTAACTACATTTCTGTAAAAAAACACAATACAACTGTTTGAAATATAACAGCATTTTATTGTAAAGTTTTACAAAAAAAATATCGGCCAGAACTTTATTGTAAAGATTTTGGTAAAACACAAAAGCGATTACAGTTGTTTGCCACAAATTTTACAACAATCAGTCAGGTTATTTCAATTGCTAAATAAGCTAATAAATAGCGTCTATAGTAAATCAAGGCACAAACTCTCATTATTAGGATTTTATAGAAACAGTTTGTGCATTCAGGCAGTGTAATAAAACAGTTTGAGCTGTTTAAATAACTTGATCAGTGTACTCGCATAGTTTTGATACTTATGTGTTGATGTTGGAAATAAAACGTCCATATTTAAAATCAGGGATGATCAATGATACAATAAACATCAGTCAGAGCCAGTTGCTCTGGCTGAACAATTGTTTTTAGTCCACATTTTAGTGAAAACACAGGACTGTGGCCCTGTTTACACAAAGGCGTTTTAATTTGAAAACGCATTGGTTTTGCTACGGTTACGCCATCTGTCCACACTACGTCAGAGTTTTCGAGTGCCAAAAACTGAGCGTTTTGGAAATGCTGGAGAGGCCGTTTTCATTCTAAAACGCTTCTGCTCCGTCTCAGTGTGGATGGGGGAAAACGGAGACAACTGAAAACGCAGGCGGGGCTGCAGACATTCTCCTCTCTGATTGGGGCTTTTCCTCAATATTAAGTAGCCTACACACAGTTAAAGTTCTGCATCCTCTCCTTGTAAGTTCAAACTTTACAAGTTTAATATGGAAAACAGACTCCAGAGAACATGTCAGGTAAATCTTTAAAGGGAACGGTGTACTTTATAATCTTTTTCACATCACCAAAGCTACATTGTTTCACTTTTTTAAAAATAAAATAAAAACATGAAGGAGGTGCTATTTTCATTATGATATTAACAACTTTACAGACAGCAGAAATGTTGGGACGTGGTGCTGCAAATATGAGCGTCATCTTCACTGTAGCGTATTCATAACAAAATGGAGCCTAACATTACTGCTTCCTTTAATTTTTATTGAAATTACGAAATTAACCCTCTCTTTTGCTGAACATCAGTTTTAATAATCAATAATGGCCATTATAAAAGTATAAGGTACAATAAGTTTATGCAATATAGGAAATAAAGGCAAGCAATCAGTCAATATACAGAATGTATGTGGTTACATTAATTATTAACTAATCTTCGCGCTCAGCCAAAACACGTTACCTGAGAACAAGTAATAGATTCAAAAGACCAAAGTCGGGGAATATGTTGTTAGATAAAGACAACCACATGAATTAAATATCACGTTTAGCTAATATAGTAGATTAGATACAGCGGGAGATCCTTGATGAACACTCCGACGAGCACAGCTCTTATCTGGCTAGATAAGCTGCAGCGCATGCCAGTGAGTGTGAGTGTGTGGGGTCACGTGATGTGCGTTTTCAAACTAAAATGCACAAGTGTAAACGGGGCCTGAGTCAGTTCCAGAAACTTGAAATGTAGTACTGCTTGAAGACTTGCACGTAGTCACAATGTGAACTGGCATGATCTCTTTTCAGAAAACAGACACAAAGACAAGTTAGCTTATGAGCAATACGCTTAAACTTAGATAAACTCAATATTTTTCTTGTTAAATTGATGACCAATGAAATGCACACAAGCAAGGAACACCCTCAAATTCTATAGGCCACTTTGATAAGTAAAAATAGTCAATAGACACATCTCAGCACTAAGCTATCATAAGTATTTGCCTCACTCTGTCGGCTTGCACCCTTAATTTCAACAATTCAAAGCATTTGTAATAAATCATTAGTTCAGAGCAGTCAACAGATAAAATCCAATTCATTGTTGCTTATACAATAAATTTTCTTGGTTGAGTAATTGCTATAAACGTTTTCATTCTAGTAACGAGTAATCAAACAAATGACTGTTTCACCATTACACCTCCATTCCTATTACTAACAATAAAATGTGGCCTTATATATTATTGATACAGTAAATTATGTACTGTTTATCATTTATTACATATACATGTTATTGTAAGTAAAAGTAACAGCGTTGTAATGGGGGGAAATAAAAATGTGTGATTATGTCTGGCGTGTGTGTGTGTGTGTGCGTGCGTGTGTGCGTGTGTGTGTGTTTGTGTGTGTGTGTGTGTGTGTGTGTGTGTGTGTGTTGAAGGGTTAGACAATTACGTACTGTAACTGCGGTAAAATGCGTTTGTAATGGCGCTATTTATTTCTAGCGTTAATATATTTCCATTACTAATCATCACTAAACTACTACAAAACCAGCATTCTGTGGAGGTGAATGTGCTGCATAAATAAAACTTGTTTCATACTAATTACTGGTTTTCAAATGTTTGCTTTTTACATCATACCATTAAATGCTGAAAAACTCTTTCTCTATGTGTGTCTTTTAGAGCCGTAGTCCACGTCACTCTCAGTCCACTCAGTCAGGTTTGGCAGACCAAGCGTCTAAACTGTCCTTCGCCTCTGCTGAGTCTCTGGAGACCATGTCTGAAGCCGACATGCCGCTGGGTTTTAACCGCATGAACCGTTTCCGCCAGAGCCTCCCGCTCTCCCGCTCCGCAAGTCAGAATAAACTGCGCTCTCCAGGTAACCTACACTCACGCTTCATTACTGTAAATGACATGCTTTAACTCACACTCTGAAGACTTTGAGATACTTTGCTTAGGTCCACATTCTGTATGTACACAAAAAAAATATGTCAGTATTTTTGGTATTTTAGATGTAATGGTCCCCCAAGATAAGCATCATGTGATGGACACCCATGAAAAAATGAGATGCATTGACACTATAAAAAATATCTGTAACAGTTATAACGGTTGTAACTTTCAGTTCATAGGTGTTTTTTTTATTTTTATTTTTTTTACACCCTTGTATTGGATTTTGGGACCTTGACTTCTGCTTTGACCAACTTTTGATGCAGAAAATGGATAGATAGATAGATAGATAGATAGATAGATAGATAGATAGATAGATAGATAGATAGATAGATAGATGGATGGATGGATGGATGGATGGATGGATGGATGGATGGATGGATGGATGGATGGATGGATGGATGGATGGATGGATGGATGGATGGATGGATGGATGGATGGATGGATGGATAGATAGATAGATAGATAGATAGATAGATAGATAGATAGATAGATAGATAGATAGATAGATAGATAGATAGATAGATAGATAGATAGATAGATAGATAGATAGATAGATAGATAGATAGAGGGGCAATTGGGTAGATAGGTAGATAAATAATATTAATGAATAACATTTTTAGCCTAAAATACTACTTGAAAATATTTTACTTCATATTCATTCTAATGATTTATTGTATAATAAATAGATTTATTAATTACTGTAAGTTTTGCTTATTTATTTTATTTTTATATTAAAATAATGTTGAATAAATTTTTTATTCAATTACTTAATATTTATTTTGATAGTTTAAACCTTTTTATGCATTTCCAGAAAGGTAAAAGAAAAGTATATTACATTTTACAATAAACTAAAACAGATAAAAATATAAAAAATTGTAATTACACAGGTATACATACTTAATATTAAAAAATAAGCTTTCATTCAAGATCATTATGTAACGATGATAAAATAATCATTATATACAATAAAGATGAAATCTAAAAATGCCCAAACATTTTAATAGATATGTGGACAATGCAAATAATGTATAATATGTGCGTATTTCTGAAAAACAATACCTTTTTTAACCTCAGTTCAGTCATATAATAGCATACAATGTTCATAAATAATAGAACATATTTCAAAATGAACTCTTATTCACTCACTGGACTTGCTGCAACATTCAAACATTACTGTCAAACTCCCCTGAACTTCTCTTAAAATGCATCAATAATTTAAATTGAGCAATAAATCCTTTCAGCCTCTTGTGAAACTATTTCAAAGCATTTCCAGGGCATAACAGAAAAACAAAATGCTTTATTAACTTGTAAAACTGTTAACCCCGTGGCTATGCAAAAATGCACGTAGATGTTTATTTCATTGTGATAAAATTTCCTTGTAAATATCTCAAAGTTATAAGACAGCTTTTTTAGGTTGTAATAAATTAAACATTTTTAGCCTGCAAAAAAACTATTTTACAAGAGATTCCTGGCCAAGAACACCTGTACACCACTCACATGTTTAACAAATGATAAATAACATCATTCACTCATCAAAACACACATCAAATGACATTTATAACTAGTCAGAGCGTCTACAAACTACAAATTTCAGATTCCAAATCATTTGAAGTCTTTACTGTAGAAAGTAAAGGAGAACAGGGACGAAAGTAATGTGGGACAAAAAGTAATAAAGCGATTTTCTTGAATCCCAGGCTATAACAGCACATTCAGCATTCAACCCTTTATGGAGCTGCCAAATATCACCTGATTTCTGCACCATGTCCCGAGGTTGGGTCCAAATTTCAGTTTTTAAGTGCAGAAATTAAATTATTGCAGCAGATCATTTTTCTTATTTCAAGTTGTTTTTCATTGTTGCATGCATCACAGCAATGATCAATCAAGTTTTTCAGTTTAAAAGTAAATCAGATTTAAATGGCAAGCGTTCCTGTGGGGATGAAAGTAACACTGTTGTTTATGTCCCGCTGCTAATATTCAGACCTTATTTTACACTTCGAATTTTCAGTGTTTTGATTCATATGTTTTATCAAATAAATGCATATTGCCTTTTCCAGAGATGGGATGCTGGAGTGGCATCCGCTGCATAAAAACGTACTGGATAAGTTGGCGGTTCATTCCGCTGTGGCGACCCCGGATTAATAAAGGGACTAAGCCGAAAAGAAAATGAATGAATTAATGAATGCATAATAGAACAAAAGTTATTCTGCAAACATATTATTCTTCTTAAAATATTATTATATTATGTCGTTATTGATAAATAACATTCATGAGTTAGTAACCACAGCAAACATACTTTTCTGTCTAAAACATTATCTTTTAAAAAAGTTTTTTTCTTTTTTTTTACGAAAAATTTTACTTTTGACCCCGCTCTCCCCTACAGTATGTAATGAAAGCAGCTTCTTAGCCTTAAAATTGATTCCAAGCATACAGAGCTGCATATTTGAAAGCATATTTTGGTAACACTTTAGTTTAGATCAGGGGTCACCAATCCTAGTCCTGGAGGGCCGGTGTCCCTGCAGGATTTAGCTCCAACTTACCTCAACACACCTGCCTGGATGTTTCAAGTATACCTAGTAAGACCTTGATTAGCTTGTTCAGGTGTGTTTGATTAGGGTTGGAGCTAAAATCTGCACGACACCGGCCCTCCAGGAACAAGTTTGGTGACCACTGGTTTAGATCACCATTTACACTAACATATTGTTAACTAACACTACTAGCTTATAACATATACCATAACAACAAATTACTACTATAAATAAACTATTAATTAGCTGTTTACTAATAGTTAGTAAGGTGCAAATTGTGACCTAAAGCGTTTTAGGCCTTATTTTTATTTTACAGTATGTACGTATGTGCAGTAGTTACTTGCTGTACCTAAGAAAGTACTTAGTTATATGAGGTGACTAGATGAGTTAAGGTTAGATTTTGAGGTACACAGTAGGTTTAGGTGATGAAACCAATTATTTAATTACCAGTTTATGTAATGTAATGTAACGTAATGTAGTTTCTGTTTAGCTAATTAATACTGTCCAAAATTAATGCTGTCCGTTTAATAAGTCCAAAATCAAACCAAAAGTGTTCAGGAGTAGCTTAAATAATGTGTCGGTGCTCTTTGGGTAAGGGATTCATCAGAACAAACAGCCAAAATTAGTCCAAGATACTCGAAACATTTGGGAGAAAAATATTAAAAGATTTTATATGAAATATTTTTATATTTGTTCCAAATTTTCGAGTGCCTTGGACTGATTTTTGCTCTTTACAGTAAATAAGTCATTTGTTGTAATGTTAATGCATGTTGCGTTCAAAAGCATTTTGTTGACATCTGGAAAGTCTGATTCATTCTGTTGAACCACCTTGTGTATATGGCATGGTTGGATGTAATTGAATCAGTAAGGTAAATAAATTAATAATATTAATAAAAAAAATCAGTTTTTTGTTCTTGCTTTCATCTGAAGATGACATTTTGCTATCCTGCAATTAGATATTGCTAAATGTTTTCTACTTGTTGATATTTCATTCAATAATAAGAGCAGCGCAATGCTTTCAGACAAAACTGACCTTCAACAGTTGTTTTTTAGCTTGCTTTCTATGTTGTGGAGAGTCTCTAGCAGAGGTGATGGTGTTGTTGGACTTTTATAGCAGCTAGCACACAATATTTGCTGAGAGCGATTCGGTTGGAGCTGTTCCCCACAGAGAGATTATTGTCCCATCAGCAGGAAGTTTAGGATTGTGTGCTGGCCCATTAGGTGAAGAGCGCCGGGATAAACTGACAGAAACTGATGACAAAAAGAGTTCGGCAGCCGTAAATTATATAAACTTGCTGTCACTGACATCTCTAAACTCCAAAAACTCAACTAGAAAACTATTTAGCTTTAACTTTTAAGATTTATGTTTAGAAATCATATACAGTATAGGCCTAAGGAAGTCAAACTTATTTTATTTCAGCCATAGTTGCTAAGAAAATATTTATCTTCATGTAGATAAATTGCTAAACATTTAAATAAATGTTAAAATATCAAAGTAAAACAATTAATAGAAACTGCAGTTGCTGCTCAGTGATAAAAAAACAACACTGAAATGAAAGCTTATGAACAAAATTGGTTCCTACTCTGCTATGTACATACATTCAAATTAATAATTTGTTACAATGCATTTATTGTGTAGATGCATGTTGCATGTAGATTACATTTTACTTATTTTTTTAAACACCTTCATGTGATTACATTCGTAATTAATTTCTGCAATTAGGCCTAAATGTATAATTAGGAGAAAAATAAGTACATTGCATCTTGTTTTTTTATGCAAATACGTAGTAGTTGTTAAGGCTACTTAATATAAAGTGGGTCTAAGTTGGTTTAGCACTATTACAGAAGTCTTGCCTTTTTAAATGTGCAGAAACACTTCATTTAAAGATATATTAAAACCACATGTGAAATTTGTGGACAGAGTGTGAAATTTAATTTGCACATTGGGGGTGGGGATGGGGGGTTAGCTGACATTGCTAGTTTTGTGGTACACAATTAATCTGTGCATGTCATTAATAATAATAAAAAAAGTTTGATCTTGTAATTTAAAATTAAAATCCCAAAATGCACTTTCTATTTTTTAAGATTAATTCTTAGATTACGTGATTTCAAGGTATTGGTTGTGGCTAACATACTTAATCAAGCTTCTCCAACTGTCAGTTTTGACAACAAACAGAAATGGTGAGGAGGAGGAGTCTGTTAGGTTGTAATAACTCTCCTCAAACTCATTTCCAGATCTTTCTGAATAAAATGCCTACTTTACTACAGCCAATCAGCTTGCAGTAGAAAAAGCAAGCCATGCCCACTGTATTCTCATTTAATATTCCGTTTCTCTACAAACTGTCACAATTTAAAATAATAAATAAATAAAAAACTGTTACAGCTTCTGGTTCATGTGGACTTTAAAGCAAGGTCAAACACTTGCAGGTTAAAAAAAGCATACATTTTTTCAAATTTTTTAATTCGTAAATACACCTGTGTTTCTTTTGTTGTACAGTACTTTGTGTCTGTAGATTTATTTACAAAGTGGTTATTTTTTTCTCTTACATTGAACTATAAATCTCATCTTGAGCAGTACTTCTTACACACAAAACTTCACAGTTTTATTCATATTTATATTCTGAAAGGTTTTACTCTCATATTTAATTTTCCAAACTATTTACAACTTTTTATTTACAACTAAGTAGTGTTTTTTTCCCTGGTTGTTTGCAGTATTTTTAGTTATTTATAAAATGATTAATATGTTATATTATATGTAAAAAAATAAACTAAAACATTGACTCTAAAATGTCAAATAAATAAATCAGCAAGAATTATGAACCTGACTTCATCCAGTGCTTAGATTTAATATATGAAAATAAATGCACATTTAATGAAATTCAGCATATTTAATTTTTTTTTTTTAACTTTTAACTTGTAATAACAATATGCTTTTTATTCATTCATTCATTCATTCATTTTCTTGTCGGCTTAGTCCCTTTATTAATCCGGGGTTGCCACAGCAGAATGAACCGCCAACTTATCCAGCACATTTTTACGCAGCAGATGCCCTTCCAGCCGCAACCCATCTCTGGGAAACATCCACACACACACTCATTCACGCACACACACTCATACACTTGGGACAATCTAGCCTACCCAATTCACCTGTACCACATGTCTTTGGACTTTTGGGGGAAACCGGAGCACCCGGAGGAAACCCATGCGAACGCAGGGAGAACATGCAAACTCCACACAAACGCCAATTGAGCCAAGGATTGAACCAGCAACCCAGCAACCTTCTTGCTGTGAGGCGACAGCACTACCTAATGCGCCACTCCGTCACCTATGCTTTTTATTAATAAATAATAATCAATAATCAATCAGGAGCATAATGATAACTGTTACCTATTATTATTATTATTATTATTATTATCATTATTATTATTATTATCATCATCTCCTGCACAGTCTTGACTTCAGCCCTTAAAAGTTTTTTTAGTGTATGGTTAACCATTTCCATCTTGACCATGTGTTGTTTCTTTCCTGGCTTCTCGTCCTCAGGTGTGCTGTTCCTCCAGTTTGGAGATGAGACCCGGCGTGTTCACATCACCCATGAGCTTAACAGTCTGGAGACGCTGCACGCACTCATCGTGCACATGTTCCCTCAAAAACTGACTGCAGGAATGCTCAAGTCGCCTAACACAGCCATCCTGATCAAAGATGAAGCCAGAAATGTCTTCTACGAGCTGGAGGATGTGAGGGACATACAGGACCGCAGCATCATCAAAATCTATCGCAAAGAACCCATCTACGCCTCCTATCCTGCAGCGCATCTGGCCAACGGAGATCTCAGGGTGAGATTTTTCATATTTGATTCAGTGATTCAGTTGGTTTTCCATCTTTCGTTGTCCCGCTGTGAGCTTATGTTGCGAAATAGATACCAGGCATGATCCATTTTTAAAGAACGCTTCTCTTCTAAGTCAAAATAAGAAATCACAAGGTTACGGAGGAAGATCAGAGGCAAGTCTAACCTTCAGACTGACGTCACGGTCCTCTTTGCATGTTAAATATTTTAAAGGGAAGTACCCTTCGTTTGATCCATTGAGCGCCGTCTTTCAGATTTGGATGTTCTTGAAGTCGGAGGTTTTTGAATTATGCACACTTTTTTGGTTTCACTTGGGATTGCGTTTCACTTTGTGAGCTGGCTGTGCTGCCACAGGAGTTTGATGTGGGTTGACTTTGAAATGCAATCATGTGGCGTCACTCTGTTGATCAAATGTTCGTTTTTACTTCTTAGCTAAGAGCTGTCTTTAGCATTTAATACCCTGCCTTATATTAATGTGTTTCTTTTCAGAAGCATGTATCTGTCTCTCTGTCTGTTTATTTATCTGTCTGTCTATTTGTCTATTTGTCTGTCTGTCTGTAAATACACTACCGGTCAAAAGTTTAGGGTCAGTAGGATTGTTAATTGCTTTAAAATACAGTAAGCTTCTCCTGCTTACCAAAGCTGCATTTATTTGATCAAAAATACAGTACAAACTGTAAAATTGTGAGATGTTATTGCACTATAAAATAACCATTTAAAAGTAGTTTATCATCATTTAATTTAATCATTTAGTTCAGTGATTTTAATGATAAATTTTCAGCTTCATTACTGTATTCTTTAGTCGCATGATCTTTCAGAAATCACTCTAATGTTAATTATTGGTATTGTTACTTTTATTTTAATTAATAATAATAATAATAATAATAATAATAATAATAATAATAATAATAATAATGGGCGAGGGAGTGGCGCAGTAAATTGCTGGCGCCTCACAGCAAGAAGGTTGCTGGGTCGCTGGTTCGAACCTCGGCTTAGTTGGCGTTTCTGTGTGGAGTTTCCCTGCCTTCGCGTGGGTTTCCTCCGGGTGCTCCTGTTTCCCCCACATTCCAAAGACATGCGGTACAGGTGAACTGGGTAGGCTAAATTGTCCGTAGTGTATGAGTGTGTGTGTGAATATGTGTGTGAATGTTTCCCAGAGATGGGTTGCGGCGGGAAGGGCATCCGCTGTGTAAAAACTTGCTGGATAAGTTGGCGGTTCATTCCGCTGTGGCAACCCCGGATTAATGAAGGGACTAAGTCGATAAGAAAATTTATAATAATAATAATATTAATAATAATAGTAATAAAAGCAATATTGCCTTGAGTAATAATTTCATTTGAAAATACAATAAGAGAGCAGTTATTTAAAATTGTATTAATATTTAACAATGAAATATTTTAAATACCATCCAAAAACAATTAATATTTAACACAATATAGTGTGCATGTAAACAGGTTGTTTTTTATTGATTTTTTTTTGTATCTTATGCACTTTTTTATTTACTGTAGTTGAAAGTTTTTCTACAAAAATTTGCTTTCTAACACGTTCTTCAAAAGAAAAAAGCAACCTAATGGTAATAAACAAATAAAGCATAGAATATTCAGCCATTCAAAGCCGATCTAAGTCAAATCAGTCTATTTTTTCATTTTGTTTATTTATATACTTATCTATTTAAAAGAAAATCTCAAACAGTAATGGAAATATCAAACAGTTATCCATAGTCTTTTAGAGAACAGTCGAAATGACAATTTCCACTGGAGATTTCTTGTCAAACTATGGAGATTAAAGTGACTTTTAAAAAAGAATAATTATTTAATCTATTTTTATTTTCTCATTGTGTTGTTATTCTTTTAATAAAATCTGTTGACTTAAGAGTCTTTGTTGCATTACTTGTGCAGTGTCAAGTTAAAAAAAACTTTGCATACTTGTAACTCAAGAAATATCGAATATATCCTAATATGAAGTTACATATTACGGCATGCATTTTTATTTTATTTTACTTATTTTAATGTTAAATATGCTTACAATGCTACAATTACTGCCACGAGATCCCAAGATTTTTGGGATTAAAAAAAAATTGTCAACACAACCTCACAGCAAATTGTAATTTAGTGGCTAATTTTTTGCAGCTATTTTGTATTATTTGTTATATCTTATTCAGACATTTTAGTATGATTTGCTCATCTCCCATTGAGAGGGTTTGGAGCTGGTTTTGGGGGCAGTTCTCCTTTAAATAATCGTTTTAATAAAAATGAAGTCAAATATATGTGTACACATTAGCCGATTTGCTGACAGTTCGTAGAATAGTTACATTTCCATGTGAGATCGGGCTGGAAAATGTCCGCAAAAATGAAGAATGCAAAAGAAAAGTAAGTTAGGAGCCAGAATTCAAACTATTTGTGTTTTTAATTGATTCTGAATCACAAGCATGCTCACTTAAGAGGGGAAAAACACAATGCAATGAAGGCTGACAATGTCAACAGATTTGAACTGCCTCGACTCTCTGTGCAAAAATAAAAAAATAGGACTTTGGATTGAGTTGACATGGAATGATAAATGTATTCAATATATTCAATATTACACTTTTACATTTTTGGTTTTCAAAAATATAATATTTAAAATATTATCTAGATATAAAGGAACATTCATAGTTAAAAATATTGTAACTGACTGAAGAAGACTAGGAAGCCTTTAAAAGTTCAAACTTGTCTTTTAACTTTAACTTTTGCCCAGACAAAGTAATCCTATAGCTCACCGAAACAACAACTTTTCCCATAATCCAGCCCCTTAAAGCCCCACATTGCACAACATAATCATACACGCATGCTACAATATTACCTACAAACCCCGACTGGATCAGTTGGCATTTCTGTCTGGATTTTGCATGTTCTTCCCTTGTTTACATGGGTTTCCTCCAGGTGCTCTGGTTTCCCCCGTAGTTCAAAGACATGTGCTATAGGTGAATTGATAAGCTATATCGGCCATAGTGTATGAGCTTGTGTGAATGCAAGATTGTATGGGTGTTTCTCAGTGTTGAGTTGCTGCTGGAAGAGTATCCACTGCGTAAAACATATGCTGGATAAGTAGGTGGTTCATTCCGCTGTGTTGGCCACTGATTAATAAAGGGACTGAGCCGAAAAAAATCAAGGAATGAATGAGTAAACTTTTCCACCATCTTTGTTTCAAATGTTCAACCGACATCGATCAACCCGATTTTCCTTACCATTGCAAAAAAAAAAAAAAACACCTGTATAAATGACAACCCACTAACAGGCTACTTCATATGTTAATTTGCTGCTTTAATTTATTTTTTAAATAAAGTAAAAGTGCTTCTAGATTGGCAGTTTACAGAGACAAGTTCATTGCCCCTTTTGATCACTTTGAATTTATTCAAATTAGCATTCAAGTCGAAACTCCGCAGCCCTGTTTGAGTGAATGTTTGAAGCCCATTTCTCAGTCGTGAGCAAAACTGTGGACAGAACATGTCAACTGCTCCCTGGAGTGTGTCCTTTTTACATTTACGTCAATGCGTCCATGTGCACAGACTAACAAGCTCCATCCCTGTAAGGCTCCAGTAAGTCCCAGAATACAAGAACAAAAAAGAACCCCGATGAGGACAGAAATATATATATATAAAGAAACGATGGATGAGTGCCTTAACGTAAAACAAAACAAGCTGCAGCATAAATCAAGTCAAAATTAATAGCCCCCCTTCGAATTTTTTTCTCTTTTTGAAATATTTTGCATGATGATTAACAGAGCAAGGAAATTTTTACAGTATGGCTGATAATATTTTGTCTTCTGGAGAAAGTCTTATTTGTTTTATTTCACTTGGAATAAAACCAGTTTTTAATTTTTTAAAAATCATTTTAAGGTCAAAATTATAAGCCGCTTTAAGCTATATTGTTTTTTAAAGTCTACAGATCAAACCATTGTTATACAATAACTTCCCTAATTACCCTGTAACCTGCCTAGTTAACCTAATTAACCTAAAAAAGCTTTTAAATGTCACTTTAAGCTGTATAGAAGTATCTTGAAAAAATCTAGTAAAATATTATTTACTATCATCATGACTAAGAGAAAATAAATCAGTTATTAGAAATGAGTTATTAAAACTATTATGTTCAAAAATGTGTTGAAAAAATCTTCTCTCTGTTAAACAGAAAATCACAAAAAAATAAAATAAACAGGGGGGCTAATAATTCAAGGGGACTAATAATTCTGACTTCAACTGTAAGTATAGTGACAAGCAGGTCTGTGCATTTATTCAAAATCGAATCGCAATGTCAATTTGAAACTTTGCAATTAGTTAATTGCAAGAAGCTGCAATATAAAATAGATATGTATAAACAAAATAATGGAAAACATCTGAGGCGACGTGCTTCAAAACCAATTCGCCATGCATCAGAAAATTAAACATGCTAGACTTTCTATGGTGTCGTAAGGCTTTACAGACATGGTATCAGTTGTCGTGAACTATGCCATTACACAAGAAGAAATGATTGAATCTTGTGTCACGACGCCCATTTATCGTTTACAACTCCCCACGACGTCAAGGAAATTTTTAAGAGCTGTCACAGAATTGTTGCCACGGCTTACAGATTATTGAGCTGAAGCTTCAATTAAATTATAAATCAAGTCGTAATCGCAATATCTGTCAAAAAAAATCGCAATTAGATATTTTCCCCAAATTGCACAGCACTAGTGACAAGCACATAAAAAATTATTAAATTATACGCAGGATGTAAGAAAAGAAAGTTAAAAAGAATAAAAGATACCGAGAGGCAACTAGGCAGAAAAAGAGATCTGTTAGATGATTGTGAGTTTCCTAGTGTTTGTGAATGAGGTGTTCAAAAGCTCTTCCTCTGCTCATTGTGGCTCAGTAAAGTATATGCGCTCGCTCAGAAGTGGCGGTGAAATCTGAATACAGTGTCATGTAATCCAATGTTATGCCAGTAGCTTTAGCTGGGCTGGGTGAAAGGAGTGAATAGGGTGAATTGAGCTCCCTGGAGTTGAATTACAGGCCGATGAAAAGAATGAGCGAGTGAGAAAGAGAGAGAATTGGGGCAATGAGTCTGGAGCCGCGCTCTTGGTTTCGTGCTAAACCTCCAAGGTTTGCTCTTGCTCCGAGCTGTTTGATTTGTCAGCGCGCCATTTTCGCTTTGAATGATTTCTGGCACATATCTATTTCTTTTTAACACCTCTTAGTATGAATGGTGTTTGCTTTTTCAGCTTTTGAAAAGTGTTTTTACAGTTAAATGTTTTGTCAGACAGATAATGTGCCGTTAAATTGTATTGCACCATTTGAGTGTAAGTGAATAACATCGGATGTGTTGTTGAGATGTTGGATTAGTCTGTATTTATAATAGAAAACAAACCCTTTCAGAAAAAGTGGAACATTTTTTGTTGTGTGTGTGATGGAGTGGATATGTTAATATTATTGAGCACGAAAAACAAACCAAATCTGAATGTTAAATGAGAGTAGAAGTTGCCAATTTATGAAACTGACTCCATTGAAAACAAATGCTGCCAATTACTCTTCAATGTTTTATTATTTAATATGACAAAACACATTTCACTGAAGTTGTTTTAGGTAATTGAAACTAAAATAATATTTGTCACTTGAAATTAAATTATATTCATATAATTTGTAACTTCCATATATATATCTATAAATATATTGGCATTTCTGGGGATAAGAGACATACTATCCTCCCACACTTTTTAAAAATCTTGTTTCTATTCCCTCTGGCTTTTAAAATGGCAAGCAGCAACAGATGACTTTAAAGGGCACCCATGATGAAAATCATCTTTTTGAAGCTGTTTAGACAACTGTGTGCAGGTATAGTGTGTCCACATTCATATTGGGCTGATATAAAGACAATAAGTCTCTTTTTTTATTCCCTGACATTAAAATAGGATCCAAATCTTTGCCATTTTGAGGCCCACTGCAATGTGACGTAGGAGTGGGGTTTCCCCACCCACCTAATTAATTGACAACCACGTATTAACATGTCTCCATAGTTATATATATATAATCATATCCCTAAGATAGGACTGCGCAAAGCAACTAGGATTAAAAAATCTGTTCAGCTATCTGTGTTCATCAATCATCATCAAAGGTGATCAAGAATGGGTTTTACAAGTTTAAAACCTTTTTAAAACAGTGCACATTTTTAATGAATTACAGCGATTGTATGATTTTTACTTTATCACCACTGCTGCATGTCAGTACAATTATAAAAAAAAGCTTCACTCCCAGTTTGTAGACGTTAAATCAGGTTTACTTTGTACATTAACATTACGGATATCCGTATGTGTGTGTGTGTGTGTGTGTGTGTGTGTGTGTGTGTGTGTGTGTGTGTGTGTGTGTGTGTGTGTGTGTGTGTGTGTGTGTGTGTGTGTGTGTGTGTGTGTGTGTGTGTGTGTGTGTGTGTGTGAACGTGTGTGTGAACGTGTGTGTGAACGTGTGTGTGTGAACTTTGTAACGGCATTGTCCCATTGAAAGACTTGAATTAACTCCACAACAAATACATCAAATAATCATTGGTAAGGTTCTTACTGTAGTATTTCTCACAAACCATATGTTAGATCTGCTTCCTTTTTGTCTGTCACTGTGCTGTTTATCTGACGCAGTCCCACAGGCACGTGGGAATGGTGGGTGGGTAGAACTAGCATTAAAGGCACAGGCCACAAAAACAGCTACAATGTGTTCAAAGCAGAAAAACCCAATGTTCAGAAAAGTATAACAAATAATCTGATGGGTGTTTTGAGCTGAATCTTTCTGGAGACACAAAAGGCTTATCTTAAGTATTGAAAAAGAGGTAAAATAGGTGCCCTTTAAATGTCAACATGAATGAAAAAAGGAGATCTGAGAGTTAGTTTATTTCTTATATTAGCTGTGCTCAGATATTATATTTTTTATATATTTGTATCATAATGTTGATGTTAGTCTAATGTTTAGGAATTTGTGGAATGTATTTTTTTATTAACTAAAGGTAATTGTTTAAGCATAAAAGACAATTAATAAAATATTGAGTAACATTTTCATATAATTTTCCTACATAGGTATTTTACTTATGTCTATCTGCATATGATTTTACAAGATAGTGATTCAGCACACACACTTTATATTTTATTTTACTTTTTAGGTCAGTTAAATTACATTTGTTTAATCAGCCTATTTTTTCCTCCATTTTGTATTTCCATAGTGCCTAAATATATGTAAATGCAAAATGGCATTAAAATTTAAACAATTTTACCCCACTTTAGCACCCATCCCCTACCCCACCCCCCAACACACACATTTTATATTATACATTTATAATATTAATATTATAGAAATAAATTGATTATAAGCTTGTGTGGAATGCTGTCTTGGGAGAAAGCCCTGAGTTCAAAAGACCATCAAGCTCAGGGCTACCTCCCATTTGCAGGGGGAGATTGAGCTCACGTGGATCTCAAGAACCACTACGCCTATTAGTGGCCAATAACAAATTGCTTTATGAGGAAAAATACAGTTGGCTAAGAACTTGACTATGGTGTTATTTTGGTTTGGTCAGTTTACTTACGCATGTCTTTGGATGGTGGTTGAAAACCAGGGAACCCGGAGAAAACCCACGTGAACATGGGGAAAACGCTGCACAGAAATGGCAATCAGTTCGGCACCGGAACCAGCGACTTTCTTGCTGTGAGGCAACAGTGCTAACCTCTAGGTTGCCGTGCTGCCTGATCTAAAATAATTTTTAAAAAAAGAAGGGGGGGGGGGGAACAAGGAGATTCTTCAAGACGAAGATGACTATGGTATGAAGACATTGCTTTTTTATAGTGGTTTAGGAATTGTCTGATTTCGGAATCGTGTATTAGCTAATGTGGGATTAGCCGTGATCAATCATAAGCACGTGATCCTCTCAAAATTAGTTTCATAAAAGAAGTTAAAAGTTAAATAAACTTTTTTTTTTATTATCATGATAGATCTATTATGAATGGACAATCAATATAAATCAGTATTTGATCTACTTGCTTGTTTTTTAAAAGCATATTTATTTCCGATCTAATACTGTATACATATGAGCATGTAACACTGTTTATTTAATCTCATTCCTCAAACAGGAACTCTAATAATTCACATAAGTTTACACGCATTGATGTATTCATAAAATCCTTATTTCTTTTCTTTCCACTTGTTTCAGAGAGAGATGGTTTACACGTCCCGTGACTCCTCACCTACTCGCCGCCTCAACACTCTCCCTTCCTCCAGCACTTCACACTCCTCCGGCTCCCCTTCCCGATCCCGTCTCTCCTACAGTGGAGGTCGCCCACCTTCGTTCGCCGGTCCGGGACACCCTCATCCCCAGGGCCCCCAGCATTCACAACACTCCCACCACCCATCACCCTCACACGGACAGGGTCAAGGCCTCACCCCATCCTCCTCCGCCATCCTGGAGCGGCGCGATGTCAAACCAGACGAGGAGATGTCTGGGAAAAACATGGTCCTTCTGAAGAACGAAGGTCTCTACGCTGACCCCTACAGTTTGATGCACGAGGGACGACTTAGTATAGCTTCCACTCAATCGCTGGCCACCATTGCTGACCCGTTCGGCTTCCCGGTTTCAGGAGGCCTATACCGCCGAGGTTCGGTTCGGTCGCTTAGCACATACTCAGCCGCAGCTCTACAAAACGACCTGGAGGACAGTCTGTATAAACCTGGAGGATCTCTGTACTCTGATGCCTACAGCAGCTCCACTTTAGGAATGGGTTTTCGGCTGCCACCTTCATCCCCGCAGAAGATACCAGACGTGCAGCTGCGCGACAGAGATTCGTTCACTGGATCTCCAAGCCGAGGGTCGCCAGTGAGGACCACCTTCAGAAAGGACTCGGCTTCGTCTTCTGTGTTTGTGGAGAGTCCTAAGTCTAGACCCAGCTCTAGTTCGGAACCGCTGGGAGATGGAAGTAAAGGAGCTGGATTCGGATCACCGCTCTCTGGAGGAGAGATCGACTCACGGTAAGCATTGATAAAAGTGTGTGCATATGTATTTAGGACAGGGTTTGTTGTGGTTCAGAGTAGTTGCTGAGACTTTTATTTCAGTTTGTTGATTTACTTTCTACTGAAACTTAATATCGAGTAGGGGTAGAGGCTTTCTTTTTGCGCATCATGCCCTTATAGCAAACTAACGGTAAGAGGGACATGGTTTATTCAATTAAAAATGTATCTTTCATTTCAGTTTAATATTATTTGTTTTGTTTCAAGTAATATCATTTAAGTTTAAAACTATAGTCAAGCATAAATGTTTTTGATTAGGAGCTCCACTGAGAAATATTTGTTTTGACAATTGTAAAAGTTTAAGGTTACTCACATAGTAATGTCCTGGCCCACAGCACCATAGCCTATGCATCATGGGAAATATATTAGAGTTAGTTTATGTGTTATATTTGTTAAAATACATAGGCTGTTTTGTTATCAATTTTATTTGCGTTTATGTTTGACTTGGCTTCTGTGATTTAAGCCCAATTTTTCATTTATTTATAAAATATTGGCCATCACCATCAACGAGGGTAGTGTGTAAAGGAAGCACCCTGGTGGTATGGTCCTGTTAAAGGCTGTTCATGTTCTGAGGTCAGAATAAAAAGGTTAACTGACAGTGCTGCCTATTACCTTCTTGATCTGTCAGACTGCTGACAACAGAGACACTCAGGGTTGTGCAGAGTGTTCTCATAGCTCCAGTTGCCCACATACAGCAATCATTACAATACACTGTACTTTCATGGACTTAAAAAATATTAAGGCAAATGATTTATTTTTTATTGGCTCAAATTAATTAATTTAGATGTGAAACATTACCAGTAAGTTTTTTTTTTTATTGGATGAATGAACATTTTATGGGAATTTGTTTTTTCTTTTAATTATTTTTATTAAAGCTATATCTTCTTGTTTAGAACAAAAAAAAAAGAATTTAAATAGTTTAATTTAATTGACTTTCTTTAACAAGACAAATATGCCTTGTACCAGGTTATTTAAAATTGTTCTCATGCAGATAGAAAATATTGTTTAAGGCAAATTATTTATTTTTCACTGGGTCAAGTGATAAAATTTAGATATGAACTATTACCCTAATTTATTTATTTGGATGAATGAAAGTTGTTTTATTTTCCAGGGAATATTGTTGATGATGCCATTAAACTGACATCATCATAAAAGGAGCACCACTTCAAACACAGAAGAAAATGGTTTTAATTGAAAATTTGCAAAACAAACTTAACTCATGCTGATTAATTGTTCACCTAAAGAAAAGCAATCTGCGCTGGATCTTCTAGCAAAATAGCCAATGTAAATTTAGATTATACACAGGCTTTAGAGTAAAGAGAAAGTAAAAGAAAAAGCAGTGGAAGCTTATTACCTGTTTTCATACAATAAGCAGCACATGATCTGTTCAGTTTTCAGTGGTCTATTTCCAGCATCAAAAGTTGTCAGAGCAGAGATCAAGGTCCCATAATATGGTTTGAAAAGCATGAATAAATGAAAAAAACACTTGTGAATCATGAGCTAGCGACAGTTTCTGTTCAAATAATCATATGCAGTCATATAACCAGAAACAAACATATATTTTGTAGTTATCTTATTCACTGGTACAGTAAATACACATTTTAATGACAACCAAGGAAAATCTGTTTAAGCAATCTAAAATAATGATAAAATATAATATAAATAATATAAACAGAACATTTATAGCTTTTGTTCAAATGATTGGTGTTATTTGTGAGATTATTAATGCTGCATTCTTTTGATTATGCCAGTAATATAGTCAGTAACTTTTTTTCAGTTTTAATATATTGTTATTTATTTTCTTAATTACAAAGCTGAATTATCTGTGGTAATTAATTCAGTCAGATGATCTTTAAATAAACACTCAGCGATGCAAACATTTGGTAAATATATCCTTGGTTAATAATATATGTTAATTAATAAAAGTTTAAATTTCAAACAAAAGAAAAAGAAATTAACTCTGAACTTTGAATGGGGGTGTAGTTTTAAATAAACCATTTTAACAAGCTATTCCACTGCCAATTATTATCTAAATTTAGCCTTTTAGACTGTTATCACTCAACTGAATGGGCATTATTAGTGGTTATCAGCTGATAGATATGAGCCAGTAGGGGCATTCTGCACCTACTGGTATAGGCTTAGAAGGCTGTTATCCTCCATCCACATGGTTAATAAGCTATAGATCGTATACAGCTGTGGTCAAAAATGAATGAGAATTATTTATATAATTTGTTAAATTTTCCATTCATTGTATTTTATTAACGACTACCACTACCCCAATCCTAAACACAACCGTCACAGTAATGTAAAAACAGATCTGGAGTCTTTTCTATTAGTGTAGCTGATTAACCATGTGAATGGATGATAACAGCCTTCTGAGCCTACCTGCGCAGAAGGCCCCTACTGACTCATTTCTATCAGCTGATAACCACTGATAACATCCATTCCATCGAGTAATAACATTTAAAGCGGGTGCTAAATCTCTGAAATATATTTGTTTAAAACAGAAATAAGAAGGCGCAACTATCCTTGAAGAAAATTAATTTTACAAAAATATTACAGAGAGTTAACTTTATTTGTTTATTTTGACTAGGAATGATTATTATTTGTTACTTTTGTAAAATACCACAATGCATGACTTCCTGTACCCATTCTTCGAGACCTATCTTTAGATACATATTTGTTTAGGAACACTTTGTGGATACACTTCAACCAAGATACTTCAAAATACTTTTTTATTTTTCCTATTCAAGCTTTTTCTGACACTGACCCAAATGCATTATTTGGGACGGTCTGGGATGATGTGCCATTTTTGAAAAGGACATCGAGTTCTTCTTAACCCGTCCTGAACAGATCTTCTAAAAGTTTTTATTCTGCTGTAAGCAGCTGGCCCTAGACAATCTATGGTTTGAAAAATAGTTTTGTCATATTATCTGTCAGTAACCTAATATCTTTGCTTTTTGGTAGACCAGACAGGAAATTTGCGTGTAGTATTGTATAGACAGTTTGAGTTAAAAAGCATAGTAAACAACTTCAAAAAGCCCACACTTATGCGTTGTATGTTTGTGATGTTAGCAGGGATCGTATGGAGGCAATGGAGAAGCAGATAGCCAGTCTGACTGGACTGGTCCAGAGTGTCCTGACTCGAGCTCCAGACAGTGACAGCACGTAAGACCACATCCACACAGAGTTTAATCAACCCTCATGACATTGACAAAACTCACCTATGCAGTAAAAGCCAAATCACTCATACCATCATATATGCCATCACAGTCACATACGGTAGTATAAAAGCAATTGTACACGGTACACACTATTAGTTAGTTTTTAGTTTTAGTAATTATTGCATGCAACATCAATCAACATCAATCAACATTTTATGTATTTACACTATAAAAATCATTCAGAATATGTTCTCTCTGTAAGCACTGATGTACAAACATGACCCACACTAACTCTTATGTGTATGTCAGACAACTCTACATAAGACAGTGTACCGTGGGACATGCTCTTAACACTAAAATGATTGTTTACATAATGTATTCTACCATTTCACACCTTCTTGCTGTGTTTAGCATGGTACCATGTTGCTATCCTGTGAAAATATCCTGTTTGCTGTGCAGCCATTGGCTTCTTCTGCTTCATAAGCTTGCTAAATGTCTTCTCTTGATGAATGTTAAGTGCTTGCACTGAAATTGTGTGTGCCGGTGGTATTTTTTGTCCTGCGATGGCCGTGAGTGTCTTTGATGTTGCTGGGCATTTATTGTCATTCACATTTGATGTGAGTCATTCATGTCACCTGTGGTATTTTAATCAAAGGAATTTAATTTAATTTGGACCGTTACTTTCAAAAGAATGTGTTAAGTAGAGATTTAAAGAAATATTTCACTCTAAAATGAAAACTACCCCATAATTTACTCACGCTGAAGCCATTCTCTCTGTATTTAACTTTCTTCTGTCAGACCAACACATTGAAGAAGTTTAAAATATTATCCTGGCTCTTCCATGCCTGCTCTTCCTCTGGATATTCCAACTGTGTTGGGTAGTCTGCATTTTTCTAAGCTTCCAAAAACACATATGCTGCCAGGGGGGTCATTCATATGAAGTGGATCAGGCTTGTAACTGACTGAGGGGACTGGTTCAGAGTGTTTTTGAGTGCTAATGTCCACACAGTGTTTAGCATAATTGAGTACACCCCATTTTGAAAATGAATATTTTGATCCATTTCTCAGTGAATATAGGCAATCTAGTTTTGTGCATTTAACAAAACGGATTTATTAAACAGATATATTTATTAAAATAATATTTTAGTCACCAAACATATTTAGAAATTGAAAGATAATACAATTAAATTCAAGCTAAATATTGCAAACATTAAATTTCACAAAATTTCAGCAAAATGTTTACTTTTTTGCTTTTCTTGATATTTCCTCTTTTTAAAATTAAAATTTAATATTTTTCTATTACATATAATTTTGGGTGTACTAGTTTTTGGACCGTTATTGTAAGTTATTTTGTTAGATAAGCTCTAGATTTGGCTTCAGTACTGACTAATCTATATGCACACAAATGGTATTGTATATCTTCCTAATAAAATTATAAAAAATAAGTCCAACTACTCCAGCTGTATTGGTCTAAAAGAAGACAGTTAAGGATGGCTTGAGATTAAGTAAGTTACCGGGTAACTTTCCCCATCATTTATGAGTGAACAATTATTTTAAGAATAAATTCATTGTATAAAGAGTTAAGAAGTAGATAGAATTTTTACTTAGATTTAGAAAGGTTTTGTGTGTCTGATGCAAATCATGTTGATAGGGTAGTTTTTGTAGTTTATGAATAGCATAGTTACACAAAATGTGTATTTAAGAGCTTGTTAATGAGGATTTAAATTTTATTTATGCTTGCATTTTTGACAGCTGGTGTAAAAAGGGCTTAAAGATACTGTTAAGCAAAAGTTCAGGCCAGTCATGTGCGTGTTTTAGTTGTTTCTGATTATAAAGCTTGCTCAGAAGTTTGTTAAGGTCTGCTAAAGCTTACTATTCTTTTGGGTTGTACCAGTTACTGTAGCTAAGTTAATAAACTGTCAATCAGTGGTCTTGGGTCAGTAAGATTTTTAAACACCTGAAGTCTTGTATGCACACCAAGGCAGAAAAATCACAAAATGTTAATGCAATTGTAAAGTAATTACTTTCTGTTATAGTACATTTTCAAATATTATGCAATATTACAATATTACAGTATTACATAATATGATTACACCATTACATAAGTCAAAAGTGCTCCAAGATCCTTTAGAAATCATTATAATTAGCAGATTTGTGGATTCTAAATTTAAAACCTGTTACACTGTATATGATATGGTTGACAATTTTATTTTAAAATTAAAATAAGTTTCAGCTGTTTTATCTTTTTTTAAGTTACACAAGATTTAAAGGGATAGTCTCCCAAAAACATAAACATCATTTACTCTTCCTTCAATGGGCTATATGCACAGCTAATGTTTTTCAGCCAACGGTATACAGCTAGCACAAAAACTAAACAAAATACAGAGGTAAAATGCATTGTCATATTTTAAAGAAATGGAAGGGGCAAAAAAAAAAAATTCATGCAGTGCTTGTCCGGTCTGAGACCCACTTTACATCAAATATCTATTAGGCAGATCTTAAACGTGGTGATTTTGTAATGGAAAGCCGTCGGGCTGGCTGGCTAAAAAATAAAAGTCTGTGAATTTACCCCATTGTTAAAAATCTACTTCAGTTTCTTTCTTTTTTTGAACACAAAAGAAGATGTTTTGGAAACTGCTGGTAGCTGGCATCCGTTGACTTGCATAATATTTTTTTTCTTTATGAAAGTTGATGGGGACCATCAACCAGCATTCTTCAAAATATGTCCTTTTGTGTTTAAAAGAAGAAAAGAACTAATAAAGATTTAAAACCACATGAAGGGAAGAATCAATTAGGTCATTTTTATTTTTTGGGTTCACAATCCTTTAAAGTAGATTTTTTAAGGTCAGTTTAATGCAAGTTAATTTTATTTAACATAAATATTTCCTTCACAGTGTATCGGTGATAAAGAATATGCTTTTGTATTCCTTTAATTAATGAAATGTTCAAAAAGACATAATTAATTTGAAAGATAAAACTTTCATGACAATATATAAATGCCTTAAAGTCTTCCTGACCCCAATGACTTTTGAATTAGAATGGTTGAATAGCGTATATAGTGTACATGGTTTAACCAAATCGTTAAATAGGTTACATAAAGCTGTGCTAATCAGAAGATTTGAAATAGTGCGAAGAGAAATTACAGTGCTTAACATTCAATATACACTACCTGACAAAAGTCTTGTCTCCTATTCAAGTTTTAGGAGAAACAAATAATAACTTGACTTCTAGTTGATCATTTGGTATCAGAAGTTGCTTATATTAAAGTCAAAGGCCTCTAGATTATCCTTTTTTTACCAAAATAAAATATGATCATGCCTTGATTTTTTTCAATATTTTATTAGGACAGTAAGGGTCTGACTTTGCTTAGACAAAAGTCTTGTCACTTAACATAATGTACCGTATAGAATATAAAGTCATGATGCAGTGGAAAAAGAACTAATATTGTGTATGACTCCCATAAGCTTGGAGGACTGCATCCATACATCTCTACAATGACTCAAATAACTTATTAATAAAATCATCGGGAATGGTAAAGAAAGCGTTCTTGCAAGACTCCTAGAGTTTATCAAGATTCTTTGGACTCATCTTCAATGCTTTCTTCTTCATCTTACCCCAGACATGCTCAATAATGTTCATTTCTGGTGACTGGGCTGTCCAATTCTGTTGCACCTTGTCCTTCTTTGCTTTCAGAAACTTTAATATAGAGGCTGAAGTATGAGGAGCGCTATTCTCCTGAAGAATTTGCCCTCTCCTGTGTTTTGTAATGGGCGGTGCAAATGTCTCGACACCTCAGGCTGTTGATGTTGGCATCCACTCTTCAGATCTCTCACTTGCCCCCATACTGAATGTAACCCCAAACCATGATTTTTAATTTACCAAACTTGACTAATTTCAGTGTGAATCTTGGGTCCGTCAGGGTTCCAACAGGTCTTCTGCAGTATTTGTGATGATGGGTGCAGTTCAACAGATTATTCATCAGAAAAATCTGCCTTCTGTCACTTTTCTGAATGATCGGCTAGAAGTCAAGTTATTATTTGTTGCTTTTACACTTGGGATCTATGACAAGACTTTTGTCAGGTAGTGTAAAGCATTACCCATTATTATGGCGTGAGAAGGCTAGTGTAGTGCTGGCGTAGTGTCAGTGTAGCGTGAGGTGCTGTAGTACAGTGGTAGTATCATGGCTGTATGATCCTCAGATGCGGCCTGCTGCGTCTCTGCATGATGGCGGGCTGCCCTCCGGACCAGGGGGCGGACTTCTCACGGCCCTTCCCTTTCTCTTCCAGCGAGAAGACCGAATCCACCAGCGAAGGATCCGCCACGGGAAGTGAGTCCAGCTACTTCTTTATGTTTTCCAAGAGAGCTCATGAGGCAGGCTGTGAAACTGTATAATGTTTCATTTTTGTAAGATCAGGCTGGCCCGAATTTCAAAAATATATGATCACAAGCAGGACAAACAGTAGCAGACAGGACTGTTTGTTTATCAGAGTGCACTTGAATGAAGGACTTTGTTTTTAAGCTTTAGTTGTTCTTTGTCAGAATAACCCTGATGTTTTTACTGTTATTTTTCAGTTTTTTTTTTTTTCTAAATTCTTTCTTCAATCCATAACTGGCGTCCTCAGAGATCTTCTTCTGAGTACCCAGGTCTTCAAAGACCACAGCCAGAGTTTTGATTTGTTAGATTTGTCTTTGAAGGTTCTCTATGGTTGAGAAAGGTGAGTCAAAACTGACTCATGCCTCAATGTATGCAAGTTTTGAGAGAGTTTCTTCTCTCTCATCAACCTGATCCACTACATGTCCTATTAAGCACTCTGTTTCGTTTCTTTATAACATTAATTGAGATATCTGGAATAAGCTGACAGCTTTTACTGTATGTTACAGCTGGCCGGCTGAAGAAGAAAGGTAGCCTTGTCTCTGCTCTCTCGTGTTTTATGTGGATTGGTGTGTAATTCCTGATGTATGGTGTATGTGCGTGCTTGTTTGGTTTTTTATGAACACATGATCCTCCTCCTTATTTAAAGGGTGAGTTTCCCCCAAAATGAGAATTCTGTCATAATTTATTCTCCCTCATGTCGTTCCCAAACCAGAAAAAATGTTTTCTGTTTTATTTCATAACGCATTGTGCATGATGTAATATTCAGATTCTCTGTATGTAGAGTGAGTTAATCTACAATAAGTTCATTTTTTTTTTTTTAGGATAAAGAGTTCCCAGCAGCACAATATTTGTATGTACTGTGTTTTGGTTTATTATTGCTTCTCACTTCAGTGTCATTATTTTTGAATTTGGTATATATAATTGCATTTCATCGTCTGAAACACATAGATAGAAATGCAGGCTCAGTGCCACTCAAACTGCAAAACAGCACTATTGATACTGGTGTGATATCAGTCTGAGTGGTCAAAACTCAAAAATGTGCTGCTCACTTCACATTTATCTTTTCACTGGTAAAGTACCATTTACATAACTGTTTCAAAATGATCTCAAAATGATGAATCATTTGCTAAAAATGACCTTGGTATCCTGATGTTGTGTTTGTAGACAGAGAAGTATCAATTTTCAGTGATTTTGTTAATTTTGTTAATTTGTATGTCAAATGTTCACATAGGTGTTTTGTTCAAGATATCAAAGCAAACCACTGAACTATTGGAGATTAAAAAAGGAATGTTGTCACTGTTATCCAAAGACAGAGGAGCTACATGTAGCTAAAAAAGCTACAATTACATGAAGATCTGTAAATCAGACATGAATATTATAAATGTCTTACTTCAGTGTATTCTTATACATTCTTGTTCTTGTTCATACAGAGCACTTTATCAGTCACTAACTACACAGTAAATCCCAACAGTCAACTTTATCAAATAATATGAGTGTAGTTAACTCAAAATTGACTGAAAGTTAATTCTACTCATTTGAAAATAGTTTTGAGCTCAGTGTTGAAGGTAATGAGTTTATTAAATACATAATTTCTTTAACTTAAATGGAGTAAGTTGGAGTAAAAGGGTTTCTAGCATTCGGTTTCCTCAAACGGTTTAAGTTGTCTTAACTTATTGAGTTTAACAGTACTCAGCTGCTTTGAGTTCTCTTCATTTATTGGATTTTTACTGTGCTCAAATTGCTTTGTTTACTCAAATGAATTAAGTTCACAGTACTCATTAGGATTTGTTTTTTCAACTTAAAAACTTAAATGGTTTGTTGCAATCAGTTTCCTCAAATGGTTTGAGTTACCACAACCTTTTGGGTTTTGCAGTGTAGTACAGCTGTTCACACATGATCTCTTGCCGATAATTTACCAAAAAAAAAAGAAGGCTGTATGTGTGAAAGGTTTCTTGTTACAATGAAATTAGAATAATTTAAAATATAAATATTAAATAAATAATAATTAATAATAAATAAATTAAATAATAATCAATTATTTCATTATAAAATATGAAAATATTTTATAAAATATGGAAATATTTTATTAGGAAAGCTATTCATTGAGAAGCCATTTGCTCTGTAGATGGATAGTTTTATTGCAAAACAGAAATATGAATTTCAAAAAGGCTACAGTCGTACAATGAGCAGCGTTCATGATCATGCTGTACAGAGAAGCATGTCATTTCATCCTACTGCTTGGTGATAATAAGCTATTTTTTTCTCCTTTATAAGCGACACTATTTAAACCCACAAATCTTAAAGTTAGCATTTCAGCGTAAGCTATATGTATTTCTTATTTCATTTTTTTAGAATGTAAATTCCTGCTGCAAATTGTCCAGCATGTCATATTGTGTAAAACTTTACAAATTAAATTTGTCCTGATTCATAAGAAGAAAAATATTTGTTGAAATTAATGTCACCAATAGTCCTTATCAATAAAGATTATTAGATTTTAGTTCAGAATAAACAGCATGAAACATAAAATAGCAACACTTGTTATTTACAGGATAATACATCATTTAGAATATCAAGCAGAATAATTCAGTGAAAATTAAGGGAATACAGCAGTTATTAGAGGAAAGCATACAACAGATACAAATGCATAACTGCAAACCTCACAGTTCATCTGATGCTGGCATACTCTGAGTGCTCTGTCATCACCATCTGTATTTTAGCTGGTTTGATAGGATTCTTAACATGAACAACAGAAGAATATGTCACCTCATCCTGAACAGACAGGGAAAGAAAACTAAAGCATTGGAAAATAAAAATACCTATACGTTAATGCGTATACACAGAATAGACTCTGACTGACCTCATTTTTGTCCTGCTTTAAATTTTGTTCTTGAGTTGAGCCATCAGGATCTACAACATCCTAAAAGACACCACCAGAACACATAAATACAGGACAAAGGTAGTATTTTATTCAGCAAGTAAAAACATAAACAAATATTTACACTCTTAATTACAAATGATTTTTTTCTCATGTTTAATAATTGTTTGAACAGGTGTCATTACAGCGCTCACCTGTTTCTCACCACACACTAGCACTAGTCCATCGGTTACCTTTTGAACATTTCTTCTACCTAGAAAATGAAACACATCAGTCAATAAGCTGTGAAGCATCAGATCAGTCAGACGTCAGGTAAATTGCCAGCGTAATTACAGTGCCAGTGCGTTACAAACAGTAAGATATTAAATATAAACTTTAAAACAGAACATTCAAACCAATGTGTTTGTGTACCTCTGTATTTAAAGCAGATCAGTGCCAGTGCAGACAGTAATAATACTAATACTGGAATCAGTGACAGTGCAATGAAGACTGTAGAAAAAAACACAAAGATAAACTCGTACAGTACATGCGCACTTTATTTACAGTGTAGGACAATTTGGTGAAAGCTTTTTATCTGTATACATATATAGTATATCTTAAAACAACATAGACTTTTACTTGCATTATAGCTTTGAATTGTCCTCTGGCTGTCTTATTGTGTGGTCTTCTGTTTAAACTGATTGAATAGATCGCCATTATACAGTTTAAAATCAATAGAGCATACCTTTTTTTACAAAGTGAACTGTTTAAGAACAGCTGATACATTTTCATGAGCATTATCAATACTGAAAACGTTCAAAGAAACATCTGTAAGACAGAGAAAAAAATGTACCTATAACAGTGAGTGTGATGGTGTGTTGTCCAGTCGGGACAGAGCACTGATATTCTCCCTGATCCTCTTTCTTCAGGTCTGATATGTGTAGAGAGAGATTTCCTGGAGATCCTTCATTTAGTAGTTTGACTCGCCCTCTGTGTCTCCCGCATTGCTCATCTGGGTACATTTCTTCAGGGTTTCCTCTGGGCTTTAGTGCAGTAAATGTCCATGTAAGTTGTTAAGGTTTAGCCTGTAGTTCCTTACAGGAACAGTGCAAAACTACAGACTCTCCCGAGTGTCCTGTCACCTCAAGCGTCTGTTTATTCAGATCCAGATTACAGCCTGACAACACATTCACAACAACACTCACATTTATACTGCACTGACTAAAGAAAATATATGTTGCATTTTGACAGACATGTTTTACGGAAGAAGAAAAAAAATCCATTACCTTTTATTTTTACCCTAATGTTTGTTGAAGTTTGTGTAGTCTCACACCAATAGTTCCCTTTATCCTCCTGTTTAAGGTCAGAAATGAGCAGAGACAGATTTGCTGGAGTAGTTTGATTAAAGAGCTTCAGTCTGCCCTTATACTTCTCATCTTTAAACACTTCAGTCCATGTTCTCCCTAGATCATTGGTGTAGATCCATGTGAATGTTTGTGGTTCAGACTGAGAGTGAACACAGGAGCAGGGCAGCAGGACTGATCCACTTGTGTAAGCTGTTACTGCTTTACTCTGACCATGATCTGAAACATCACAGCCTGCAGACAGGGAGAGTTTCTTTCAGAACAAATCAGTTTGAGCTTTAGAACATGAACATCAGGAAGACATAATAGCTGTAACAATTTTATCTTATTATCACATAATAACAATTCAGCATGACAAGGGAAAATACTACTGGTGAATAGGGTAAAAATAAAATAATACTAATAAAATAGTTATGATTAAATTGAAGGGGTCATGAATTTAGATATATTATAGGTCATCAAAAGTTTAATAACTTTAACATAAGTTTCAAAAACTTTTAATGACACCAGCCCCAGAAAACACTAAATCCTTGTGCCATTCTTTAGGAAGTTGTGTTGGTTAAACACAGCATGCACAGAAGAATATCAGTGCTAGAAGAATATCATTTTATGCAATATAATTTTAATGGAATGGGAAAAATATGATCACTTTTATTTCTTTGGTTCAGACAGACAGCAAATCATGGATTAACTAAAGTGTCTTCTGATATCTAGTGCCTTAATGCCTGTTTCATAAAAAGAAAAAAAAAAAAACTTTACTAAATAAGCAATAGATATTTCTGTTAGCTTTACTCTTGGTCAGATGATTTAATCCATAAAGCAAATTTACATAACAAAACACAAATATGGATTGAGTTCAGTGTGGCAGCTTATACTGGGATACTAACCTTGTTCAGGAGGACAGGCTAACTGTTCCCAGCCGATTTTATAACTTGATTGAATGGAGGTTATCAGCTATTAGATATGGGTCATTACGGGCATTCTGCGCCTACTAGTATATCAGAAGTAGATCATATACGCCTGCAACCAGAAGTTAATGAGAATTATTTATATTATTTATTAAATCATTAATTGTATTTCATTAACATCTACACCTACCCCAACCCTATACCCAACCGTCACAGTAATGTAAAAACAGATCTGAATCTGGAATGTCTTCATTAGTACAGCTAATTAACCATGTGAATGGATGATAGCAGCCTTCTGAGCCTACCAGTACGCGCAGAAGGCCCCTACAGGTTCGTATCAATCAGCTGATTACCACTGATAACGCCCATTCAATCAAGTAATACCATTAGAAGTGGGTGGAGTTCCTTAAATACGGACTAATATCAGTGGCAGTGATATTACCTGTACAACCAAACATTATGAGTTATTAAGTTGTTTAAAGAGAAAATCTGTGAGATCTCCAGAGATTCACACAAAAAAAATGCTAAAAAAGAGACTGATGCAGTGGTGGATTTAGGCATGGGCAATATGGACGATCACCCAGGGCGGCATCTTGCTGCGGGGCAGCACGGGGTGACCGTGAACGGGAGAAAAAAACAAGCCCTTGTTAAAAGCTTTGAGATAACATCACAAACTGCAGACAGAGAGTTTCTTTCAGAACAGATCAATGTGAGCTTTAGAGATGAGCATAAACATAAAAAAAAAACATAACAACTGAAGACCTGTTCAAAGTTTTATCATGCCACAACTTAACTATTCAGTGTGATAAAAAAAGAGTTATTTTTCTATCGCTGGAGTCTCAATTGAAGTATATACAATAAAACTGCCTACACTAACAAAATGATTGACCATATGTTTATTATTATACCATATATTTAACATTAGGTGTTCAAAAATGTTTTATCTTGATTAGTTTTTAAATAAATTGGTCTTACACTTCATATTTTCTGATTTTTTCATAGTATATGTATTTCTTTTACCATAAATCGACATATCTGCCATTTGGTAGACATTGGTTGATATTTTAGAAATTATGGGGTGTGCTGAAAAAAAAAGCATAACTATAGCAACATTAGGAATTAAGAAATGCAATCGAAGTTTGTTTGTTTTTTTTGTTTTTTTAGTGGGGCAGTTAAAGGGATATAGCATATAGTATAGCAAATCGTCTACTTAAATGATCCTCTTTGTCAGCAGCTCTTTGTTTTTTCCCTGTATTGTGACACTATTGGAGAACGTTTATATGATAGTCTTTTATAAACTATTGATCAGGATTCCATGTTACTGCAGCTCAGGTTTAGAGTAAATGAATAGATCATGATCCACATGTAGTTGGCTTTATTGCTAAACTGACGATTTTGCTCAGCCTGATTTAATTGTTGTTTTGAGCTCATGACAAGTTAATTCTTGTGTCAAATGGCATATTTGAGCTTTTAAAAGAACCAATGCTTCGGTCCATATATGCTAGTCAATGTTTAGATGTGAAATAAAAAGATATTTAAATCAAATCAAGTGATTATGTCTGTTTAAAATAATTTTTTAACTATTATGTTACTTTGTAAAGTGGTAAAGACATCTCCCAGATTTCTCTTTTTATTATTATTATTATTATTATTACTATTATTATTATTATTATTATTATTTATTTGAGTTTCAGAAGATAAACAAAAGTCTTAAGGGGTTTGGAACGACATGAGTAAATAAGTAAATGGTGACAGAATGTTAATAATTATAATGCCTGTTTTCACTAATATCTCTCCTCTAAGGCCTGCCTGCACTTGATATTTCTCTCCCTCAGTCTGTTTTCACTCCTAAACTTGACACATTTACACACTGAAAGTTAAGTGTGAGGACGATGTGTCTATTTTCCTGCTCTCTAAAGCTTGGTTAATCAGTACTTGTACCCTTATGTTAAAAACGACTGACTGGAGATGCTGGTTTCTCTGTATTCCTCACTAACAGCATGATCCTGAATGGGCTATGGAGGTCACAACACGCTTTGTGCTGTATGTTGTGTGGGTTACTGTATCTCTATCTCAAAACACAAGAAAGGATGGGTGTAGAGGGAAAATGCTCAGTCCTGCTTCTGGAGATCTTGCTTCTTGCAGAGTTCAGGCAGTCGAGGTCATTCAGATGACAGCCAGGTTTTAAGATCCCCAAAACTTAAGCTGTGTTCAAATACACATGCAAAAGTTTGGAAATGGTAGTTATGATGTGAAGTGATTTTGGTCAGTTAAAATGAACATTTCTTGTAAAAAGATTTTTAATTTAAGATCTTAAATTTTTAAGATTAATTAAATGAACTTTTATCAAATTGTTTAAACCTCAAGCTGAATCAACTTAAAAAAATTAAGTTGACAGTTTTTTAACACGTCTGTTGCAACGTATAAAAAAATACATTTCCATGACAGTTTTTTTTTTTTAAGTGAACTGTTAAAACTGAAATTTTTGATCAAATGAGGTAAAGAACAGGGAACACACAGTACACATTAGGTGTGTAATTGTGTGTTTATATGTCATTTCATTCTTTAGGAGAAAATGTGTTCACTTGTGAAATGGCTAGTGTTTTCTGACATGCTTCAAGTGTATTTTTCTTAAACTACATAGAATGAGCAAAACAGCCAATGCTTATAATGATGGTCAACACCACTTAGAAATCTGACATAATCATTCAATTAACTTTTTCCCCAAGCTGAAAAGTCAGTTCTTATTTGACCTTTGAGTGGGAAATACTGTATTAACATATGAGGTTAAAATTATATATATATATATATATATATATATATATATATATATATATATATATAGTCAGAATTATTAGTCCCCTTCGATTTTTTTTTTCTTCTTTTTTAAATATTTTCCAAATGATGTTTAACAGAGTAAGGACATTTTCACAGTATATCTGATAATATTTTCCCTTCTGAAGAAAGTCTTAGTTGTTTTATTTCTGCTGGAATAAAAGCAGTTTTGTATTTTTTATTTATATACCAATTAAAGGTCAAAATTATTAGCCCCTTTAAGCTATACTTTTTTCGATAGACTACAGTTAAATAATAACTTGCCTAATTATCCTAACCTGCCTAGATAACCTAATTAACCTAGTTAAGCCTTTAAATGTCACTTTAAGCTGTATAGAAGTGTCTTGAAAAATATCTAGTTAAATATTATGAACTGTCATCAAAATTTAATGTGTAAAAAATTAAAGATGTAGTTCACCTATTATGAAAATATGCTTTTAATAAATTCCCTTTCAGGCCATCCAAAATATAAATGCCTTGTTTTCTTCTGTAGAATATTACAAAAGCTAAAACCTTGGTTATTCATGTAATGCAAATCAACAGCTACCAGCACTTGTTGAGCCAAAAACAAAGCAAAATGAATACTCATGACTCCTTATGAAACATTGAAGTATTATGAGAGGAAATGATTGGTCTGTCCAAGAAAAATAAACATTATTCCAGGTGTACTTGAAAGCAATATTAACTATTTACAGTAGTAAGGATTTACAGTTTTAAGGATTTATGGTTGCATCCATATACTTCTGGGAGGTTGATCTCCAGAAACAGGACTAACCAATGATAGTGTAAAAGGTGCAAATAGGTAAGTGCAAAGTAATTATAGTTTGACTGAGTGTTTGTTTGCAGTTGTCTTTGTTGACTGTTTGTTCTGTGTTGTGGTTAATAGCGCTGACTCCATCAGCCCCACTGGCGCTGATGCCTCCGCCTTCATCTGGAGGCTCTCAGGCCTCCACCGTTTCCAGACTACAGATGCAGCTTCACCTGCACGACCTCCAACAGAATGCCACTGATCTGCGCAAACAGCTTGCACAGCTGCGGAAAATGCAGGTAAGATGTTACACGCAAACACACAATCTCATGCATCTCGAAACGCGGCAGGTTACAGCAAGTCACAGCAGGTCACAACGTGATAAAGCTGCATGTGATAAATTACATTTCTGCCATGTTAATCTGAGTTTTTGTCCTCACCGTGGGTGACTATCAAAAATGTGGCATGTCAGGACAATTTGTCACTTGCTTGGCTGCTATTTTTGACACATCGCACCGGGTTGTCCCAGTCTCATTCGTTTAAATCCCTGCTCCGCATTGCTGGATATTAAACATTACATCAAACCTCAAAGGTGTCCAGATTGCCTGTCGTTTTAAGGCTTATTGTGTTTGTTCGCTTTCAGGCAGACAAAACACGTCACTTTGTTTAGATAGCAAGCACGTACAGATTGTTTCAAAGCAGCTTAACTGTAATAAACAGGAAAATAACTGTTTGTAATGCAGGATTCATCATTGTCAGGAGTAAAGCAGCTTTATGGAAGACAGCGGTCTTATTATTCAGCTCAATTTAGTGCAGTGATGATTCAGAAATGCATTTTTAAACAAATTAAATGACAACAGCTGTGAGCAGCTCTACAAAACACAGTACTGTAATTGATTCAACTAAATGTATTTAAGTTCTGATTAATTCTTCAATAACAGAATGTCAATAATTATGAAATAGAGCAAAGCAATTATATTACTGTTCATCTTAATATATCTCAGTGTTGATTCAGTTTAGTTCAATACTGTTAGATTAATACGTGGTCAAACAAATTCAGTTAAAGCTATAGATCATTATTACAATTGACAGTGGTGTTTTTATTCATTGTTGGTTGGTTATTATAAATCAGAAAACAAATTCAATTTTGGCTGTAAAGCATCTCCACAGAAAGCAATAATGACATTACTCAACTTCATTTAGTTTCACGTTGATTTAGACTAGTTTAACAACTGTGTGAAAGTAATAAGTGATGAAACAAATTCAGTTACGGCTATAAGCAACATTACATAAGATGGTATTGATATTATTCAGCTAAATGAGCTTGTAATTGTTCAGCAAAGATATGTAGCAAATTCAATTACAGCTGCAAAGCAGATCTACAGAAAATAATAATGACATTATTCAGCTTAATTCATGTTAATTCATGTTAGTTCTATGTTGATTTAGGCCAGTGTAATAACTGAAATTAATAGATGGTGAAACAAATTCAATTATAGCTATAAAGCAACATAATGTTAGAAGGACTTTTTTTCAGCTACTTTAGCTTGTTTAGCAAAGATTTGTTACAAATTCAATTACAGCTATAAAGCAAATCTAAAAAAGAAAAAGGTGATGTTACTCAGCTTAATTCAGTTGAAAATGTATTTAAGTCAGCTCAATTAAAGTGTAAAGTGCATACATTTTTAAAACAATCTAATTAAATAGCTATAATACAACTCCACAGAAAACATTACTGGCATCATTTAGCTACATCTAGCTCAGTGTTGATTCAGTTTAGTTCAATAGCTGTAGTAAAACAAATTTAGCTACAGCTATGAAGCAACTTAGCCGGCAAACAATGTCATGAGACATTAATATTGGGTTAGATTTGGGTTGTGATGTCAGGTGACCGAAATTCAGTATTGTGTTGGAAAGTAACCACAATCCGACTTTGAGCCAACATCTTAAACCAATGTCATATTGACTTCAAATACTGACAGTTTATTTAATCAAAATCCAACGTCTGACAGATATTATAGTGTAAACACACAATGTCAAGCTTTAACATTATTAGACTTTAATATTTGGTTGTTTTTAGGTTGCATTGGAAAATAAACAAAATCTACATTGGTCCGACGTTGGACATTGACATTGGTCTAACGTTGGGTTCTGACGTCAACCCAATTTTCATTTCTGCTCAAAATGGAAAGTCCAATCTGACGTCATGTTGATGTCCTGTGCCTGCTGGGAACATTACATTAGACAGTAGTGTTATTCTTCTGCTAAATTTGCTTGAATGTTGATTTAATTTAGTTTAATAGCCGTGTAGTTAATTACAATATTGTGAAACGAAATCAAACAAAGCTATCAAGCAACTTTACATTAGACAATGGTGTTATTCTTTAGCTAAATTTTCTTGAAAGTTGATTTAATTTAGTTTAATAATTAGTAATCTGTGAAACAAACTCAATTACAGCTGTAAATCAGATCCACAGAAAACAATAATGATATTTAGCTAAATTAAGTTTAGTTTTGATTCATTTCAAGTCTTCAACTAATTGCAGCTATACAGGAGACAACGCCATTGTTCTGCTCCATAATGTAATTCAGCTCTATTTAGTTCATGATTGATTATTTTTAGTAAGTCAGATAATATTTATAAGTTTAAAAATTATTAAACTAGTTCAATTCAGCTGTAAGCAGCTCTACAGAAAATAATGTCATTATTAAACCAGATCAATTTGGTGTTGAGGACAAAAAAAAATTGTCGTCCTTGAAACTTTGTAATTCTACCTTTGAGATAACACACATTACAAACTACTGCCCCAAATTACCTTACTTTGTTAGCTGTAAAGGTTGATAGCTCTTTTTCATTCACAGAAATGCACAGTGTTTGAAGGTTAGTCATTGTCATTACCACAAGACCTCAGTCTCAAAGTAAGGAGTAATTGACAGCAGTTCGCTGAAATATTGAAAATTTAATGTGTACCTGAGGTCATAATGTGGCTTGATGTGATGTCAATTGCCTGTTACACCTCAGGTGTGCATTAAAATTTTAGTACAGCAGTTTGGAGTCAATTATTCCATTTACACCAGAAGTCGCTTGAGCATGCGCTTATCATTAACTTCCATTCCTTTAAAAGAACCATTATACTGTAAGTAATTAACTGTAACGCAGTCAGAAAACCTAGTTTAGCCGTATTGAAACTCTGTTGTATGAGGTATTGTTTGAGGTTGCACCTTACACTGATTTAAAGAGGAGACAGAGAAGCTGCTCCAAAAGGCACAGATGCCACTAATAAGAGTGGTAGTTTATAGTCTTCACAATATCTCATTTATTTAAACATAGCCAAAAAACTGGATTGACTGCTGAATGGCCTCACCTGGTATTTCTTGCTCCATGTACTGATGGTTTTATGTCCATGTGTGTGTGTGTGGTGTGTGGAGGAGGAAATGCATTATTCTCGATCCTTTTTAGAGATCAGTTTGGAGAGCTGATGTGAATCATGCTCTTTAACATCAAAATGAGAGGATCTGATAATGAATTTAAAACTTTTGGTCATGTCACTTTTTTGTAATGCTTTAAAGAGTTGAGGATGGAACAGCTTTACAGTTTTAAACAGGAAAGAGTTAACAGAATTAATGCAAACCTATGCAAACTAATGCAAACAAATACACATTCTACTATGCACAGCTGTAGCAAGATAGTATTAAGCTCAATCAACTACAGTTTTAATTCAGTTCAGTTCATTAACTGTGTAAATTACTTCAATATGAAATATGATTCATTAATTAATAAGTAGGTCTACTGGAGATATTAGTATTCTTCAGCTTCATTCATTTAAGAAGCTTCAGCTGAAAACATTCTGGCTAATACTTTGTACAGTATTTTGCCGTTAATTTGTCCTAGATACAAAAATATTCATACGTTGAATCTACAGATCAAACCTTTGAATTTCCACCCACAGACATTTGCAGTTTCTAAACTAAAAGTGCATAATGCACATTTTTTTCTTCCCATTTTTTCTCCATTGTGGTCAAAGACTTAGCATTTTGGTATTTGCATGAAATTAAGTTTACAAAAGTGATTGTATGTAGTATGCATGGAAATCATATTAAGCGCAAGCAAAGTGCACAGTGCAATGTTTTAAATAACTTTAGCAAAGATAAAATCTCAAAACATTTGTACTATTACATTCCAATGTCGTTCAGCACAACAGTTATTTTAATAAGATATATAATGCAAAATATATAATGTATATAATACATATAACAATATATATATATATATATATATATATATATATATATATATATATATATATATATATATATATATATATATTAAAAACGTCTTGGTGACAAATTAGTATACCTTGAAGAGTGTAATTACTACACACTCATTCACACACATACACTACGGCCGATTTAGCTTATTCAATTCACCTACAGTATAGCGCATGTTTTTGGATTGTGGAAGAAACTGGTGCATCCGGAGGAAAACTCCACACAGAAATGCCAACTGACCTAGCCGGGGCTTGAACTTGCAACCTTCTTGCTGTGAGGCAATGAGGTTACCACTGAGCCACCGTGTTGCCCTATATCAACTATTGTTTGATGAGAATTGAAGGGACACATTCTATCATTAAATGATAAAATTTAAGACTTGATGGTATTCATCTTTTACCCATGTATATTTATTTTTATTTAAAAGCCCACCCCATTTTTCATAAACTTAATAGTGATGTACCGATTTTGTATCAGTATACAGAGAGAGACAGGCAGAAAAACAGTGAGAAGTGGGATCTTTTATAACTTACCCCCATAGAGAACAGCGAAGGCCTGAGCATAAGAAGAATACTCGGATGTCAGTCAAAAATGTATCTGTCAGAATGTCAGATTTTTCAGATATGGACCGACTATCCCAAGACAGCAGTTGTCTCAGTCGAGTGGGGTTGATATAAAAATTGTATGTGTGAATGGGGAAAAATATATTTAATAAAATACACATGGAAGTGGAATATTTTTAAAGCAAAAAGAAAAGTTCCTTGTATGAGCAGCTGTCAGATTATCGGGTGACATGTTGAACAGCAGTCTGATAAAGGGAATGTTGTTTTAGTGGATGTGCAGGAAGCTTTGGGGAGGAGAAATGCTGAACTAACTGTCTGACAGATCCTGTTGGACTGTGCAGCTCTCAGAAGTCCTTTCTGTATTTTCAGAGTTCCTACAGTCATGCAGCAACTGGAAATGTGAGAGCATTTTAAAGTATTTTTGTCAAGGGCTCTAGAAGTCATGCACATTTTTAGAACTGAGATTA